GTGTTTTTTTCAGCCAAAACCAGTCGCGGGGGCAAGGCTCAGGATCTAATCAGAAGCAGGGCTCGGGACTTCTTCAGGGATCAGCCAGCAGGCAGAGAAGAAGCCCTGGATAGACCGCCAAGAAAAATATCTTTGGAAGGTGAACAGTGGGAATGTATGGAAGTCCCAGACAGCCCGCCAAGGAGGAAAGTAACCTGGGATAGCCCGGTCAGCCTGACGGGGAAGAGGAGGATACCCTGGGAAGGCCAGAACCAGGTATCCAAGAGAGCCTGCAAGAAAAGCGTGAGTCCGCCTCCGCCCGGAAGGGATACTTCGGGTGGAGTACTGCAGAGTCGGTCCGGCAGGCAAGGCATCAGGCGGGACCACAATGAATCCCGTTGTCCGCTGCGGGGTTGCCCTATTAAGACGAAAAAATTGAAGAGGCATGTAGTGGACCGACATCTGCCCTGGTATTTCAAGGATAAAGAAGATGAAAAAACCATGCAAGACCCGGAAACACACTCCAGAAGAGCATCTGCTCTTAATCAGTTGGCTCGATGGATCCTGGGAGCAGAGGGGACTGTTTTCCAGTTGGTCCAGTATCGATGCCTACTGATCCCATCAGATAGCGAGATCACTCAACTGGCGTGTGCGGGGATGAGGGAGCTGATTAGGAGGGAGGGGTGGTCACAACCTCCTCGCCTCAGCCTACATCCCATCAATTCACCGGCTTGCCTAATGTACTGGAGGGTGCTGGCATTGCTAATGAATGCACTCACCCCATTCCAGATCAACGACTTCCGGACGTTTCTACAGCCCGTGGCATCCAGGGCCATTCCACAACCAGTGGAAACCGCCTCAAAACCGGAGTCCTCAGAAAATTGGGACCAGGAACTGTCCAGTACCGGTGGAGAGGTGTGGGAGCCCATGGATCTGGAGGCCCCAGAGTGGGAAGAGACGGGTGAGGGCACGGTACCGACAATCGTGTCTTCCGACCATACTTGGGGAGAGACGGGTGAGGGCACGGTGCCGACAATCGTGTCTTCCGACCATACTTGGGGAGAGACGGGTGAGGGCACGGTGCCGACAATCGTGTCTTCCGACCATACTTGGGGAGAGACAGGGGAGGGCACGGTACCAACAATCGTGTCTTCCGACCATACTTGGGGAGAGACGGGTGAGGGCACGGTGCCAACAATCGTGTCTTCCGACCATACTTGGGGATGGGAGTCCCACATGTCACCCACAGAAGAGGGCACGGCGCAGCAAGTTGTGTCTTCTGGCCAGATATCTGCATGGGACTCTCATACATCATACGAAGGGGATGGCACGGCACAATATGCCTTGTCTCCGGGGCACACCAGCGGGGGAGCAGGCACGGCAGAGACCGCCGTGTCAACCTTAACCGTGTCACGAGTCAGGGTGGTCGGGGCAGTGGAAGTATACTGTGACCCCGAGACATATCCAGAAGTGGGCAGCCTGGGGAAGTGGAAGGTGGCAGTGGGGGTCCCCCCCAAGAAGGTGAACCTGTTAACAGACACAAGATTCCGGCAGTTAGCTCGCCTGTGCAGCCAGCCAGGAGTAGCGGTTGGAGAAATCGGGCTGGATAGGTCGACGAATCCGGCCGGTTGGAGGTATTGAGAGAAGTTCTCGCTATTACCCCAAGAGACAAGGTGATAGTGCTCCACGTGCGAGGGGTGACCGGGGACAAGTACGCGACTGATGTGCATTCCCGAACAATCGCCATATTAAAGGAACACATGCCATCCGACCAACCCCTACATGTCCACTGTTTTACAGGAACTCGGGAGACAGTTCAAGAGTGGCTCCAACACTTCCCCAACGCATTCTTCGGGTTTACAGCCAAAGCTGGAGAATTCAATCATAGGCAGGTGCAAGGGCTCCTAGCAGTCCCCCGGGGGCGATTATTGTTGGAAACAGACTCCCCGTATATGCATCCGGAGTGCGGACCAGTTAACTCTCCTGCCATGATTGGGGTAGTAGCAGCCCTTGTCGCAGACCTGGTTGGAGTCGAGTACCATGAGCTGTTGCAGCAGAGTGTGGACAATGCCCAACAGCTGTATGGGTGTTGAGGCTGACCGGAGAACAGCTTCAGAACCCTTGACCGTCGTGGCTTTGGCGGTCTCAGTAGCTCAGCTTCCGGATGTGACTGATGTGCAGTTGGTTGCCCTCCCAGATGCGGGAGACCCCGGAAGGCCCAGTGGACAATGGCATATTCCCGGCAATTGATTCGTCGGGATATGTCTAAGGTGAGAGGAAGCCCCTTCAGGGTTAGGGGGGGCTTAGGAAATAGGGAGGGATGTAGTGATCGTAGGTTTCCGGAGGTCTTCGGAAAGGTTCGAATAGGTCGTCCCGTGGCTGACCACGGGAGACCCCAGATTCAGAGTGTTGTCAGCCATCGTTGTAAGTAAACCAGGTCGAGTACCCAGCTCAATGCAGTATTGAATTATATACTGACTTGACGAACTGACAGCCCTTGTACGTGAGTAGAAAACAAGGTTTGTGAAACCGAGATATCGTTTTCACAACATATGTCATCGATCCCAATTGCGTGGATTGATACGCATGATATCAATCACTGGATTGTCTGGTCCAGACTCGAATATTTACAGAGCGCCGTCATATAGCTGGAATATTGCCGAGTGCGGCGTTAAGCAACTAACAAACAAACAAAATGATTGGTAAATATAAGCGATTGAGGGCTGAGCGAGGGTGGTCGGACATATTGTCTGACATGATTCTTCGTGTGAGGGTGTCAACATCGTGCATTTTTTGTTTCGTCCAATCAGCAACACCAGAGGAATACGAAATGGCGGGCACAGCATATGTATTTCAGGCTTTGACTTTGTTGCGAGCGTTGAGCTCTGAACTCCAGATTTTCTTAAGTCTACACTTGTACTCTGCCCGAAGGTTTTCTTGATATAGGCATTATGGAGTTTGTCTCTCACCTGCATCCCTTAGTACGTTTGGGCCTGAGTGAGTGAGTGATTGAGTTGGGTTAAACGCCGCTTTTAACACTATTAGTTATATCACGGCGTGTCAACTTAATGTGAGAGGAAAGCCCGAAGTGATTCAGGTCTCAGACGTTTACCACTTCGGTGAAACCCACGAGCACGGGTATGGTGCTGACAAACCTAGAAACATAATCGGGGCGAACCGGGATTCAAACCCACAATCATAGGTTTCTGGCGTGCCCAAGGGACGCAACTCTGCACAACGAATCGCGGCGCCTTTTTAGACGACTGGGCCACCCGTGCCCCCCGTTTGGGCCTGACGTTCCAAGAGATGGTCAATAACTCACCCCCCAAGTAAACTGACTGATCCTGCCTCTTCTACCTTGCCACGTTTCAGATGAAGAAGGTTGCATTTGTCGAGTCCAAATTACATACCAATATCATTAGAAAAAGACACGCCAATCTTTTGTAATAATGGCTTCACCTTTGGCAAAAAGGAGGGATCTGTGCTGAGGAAGTCCAGGATGATAACTGTCTCTTTGCTAAGCAAAAAACTTAAAGGATTTAGTGACAAACACAAATGCAAAGCACTTAAATAATCGCCCTGAAATATTCCCCTTCTAATAGAAATTGGTTCTGAAGTCACCACCTGCCCCTGCGATTACATCACAAGTTGTGTTGACCAGCAATTCATTAAAGACTTGATTAAAACAAGTTGTCGATCAGTGAGGTCAATACATTCCCGTGACTTCAAAGTCATTCATAAGCTTTTCCGTAGTCTATCAAATACATTGAGAGGTTACGGTGGTAAGTTGTAGCCTCTTCAAGGATCATTTTTCGAAACAGCAATAGATCCTTACAACCGCAACATCCCTTTCTGGCTCCCTTCTGCTCAATATGAATAATGTTATTGGAAGCGCAGTTTAATGACACAAATCTGTAAGACACCCTGTAAATATTGTGTACTATCTATTCAGACAAGTAACAGGGCGGAGGCTTTGGGGTTTAGTTAAATCATCTTTTTTTAGAAGTATTGTTCGACCCTTGCATAACCCGTGTTTAGAAGAGAATTTAAACATTGAAGTGATGGTGTTTGGACACAAGGGAACAGTTTTCAATACCGGTTTCGAATACTCACAGACCCTTGCACCTAGGTCTATGACGAGTCCATATTTACTACCCTGGTACCCACCCCCTATTATCCAATCCTACCCGGGTACCCGCTGTAGGTTTCCAGAGGGAGGTACAAAATGTCTGATTTGGAAACGCTTGACCGTACGCCTGTCAAAATAAATTTAGATACACGTATAATCCAGTCTGGTCATGCATACACTGAAGTTGACTGAAGTTATGCAAACATATAAAGCCAGAAGGAATGTGTGTATAGTCAGAAAGAAATTTGTCACATAGTGTAACCATAGAGTTCTAAATAATTTTTGCCATTAAACACTATAATCACGTGACTAACCACGGGTACGGGTAGTCATGTGGGTACCCGGGTCCTACTCAGTACCCACCCGACCCGAGTACCCGTGTTACCCGTCCCATCACTACAGGCACCGTATTAGATTTGTTTTTTTTTATTACAAGTGGGCACTCATGTGTAATGAAACATTAACAATGGAGACCGTATTTTCTCTGTACAATATCACTGTAACCCTCTATCCATGGTTCCAGTTACAGGAACAGTTACAGTTGCTGGGTATAGACCACAACTGTTTCCAAAACCTCTCACTGAAATGAATGTTTGGTATTTTCTCATTACTGCAATTAGTTGCATTTAATTGCCTGTAAACTGTGTTGCATGGTGGTGGGGTTGCGTGAGGTTGGGTGGGATGGGGTGGGACGGGGTTGGGATGGGGTGGGCTGGGATGGGGTGGGACGGGGTGGGTACGAGGGTCTGTATACAGCGAGTCAGGCGCCTTTTCGGCCGTGCCTGTTAACCTTATAGTAGTACAGGATTCAATGGTTGGGATTGTCAAGGTTGGTTTTAGTATTTTTACAGACATAATTGTCTGTTAATTTACTCTTGTTGTCTCTCACCAGGTTCCTGCCCACCGGGACGGTTCGGGGAGTCCTGCTGGTTCTCGTGTCACTGTGGGGTCTACTGTGACGTCACAACGGGCGCGTGTGGAGCTGAGTGTGACGCTGGCTGGGTGGGGGGATGGGGACGCAACTGTCAAAAACGTATGTTGGAGATAAGTTCGACTATTTATATACGTACACGACACTTCTGTTATTTGCATAATACAAAATGACTACAGAATGTAATGATATATATGCTTTATATCTTATACAAGGAAGGGTGTGTTGTGGGGTGGGGATTGAGGGAGGGGTGGGGATTGAGGAAGGGGCGGGGCTCTCTGTCTCTGTTAATGCTTATGTACTGTTGACTCTGGTTCTCCTATGCTTTGTTCATTTTTATGTATTTCAATCCAGTCATATTTTGACAACATTTATTCAGAAGATGTGGATTATTTGTTCTTTTTACCTATTTTCAAGAAAATGTTGCCTACCATCGACCAGCTTCATCCCCTACTGGTTCACAGCGTCCTGCGTGGACTCCCGACAAAGCCGTGGATGGTGACCGAAGGCAAGATGTGTATAGCAACACATGCTTCCACCCGGCCATTCCACCCAGTCCACCCAGTCAGTGGACAGTGGACCTGGGTCGAGTGTACAGACTACACGATGTCAGGATCTATAACAGGAAGGCATGTAAGAACATGCAGCATGTCCCCTGGAAATATTGAGATTGTAGTTAATGTTTGAATAACAATCCGTATCTCCATGATGAAAACGTTTGTAGGCGAGTCTAAATCTGCTGAAGTTTGAAATAAGTTGCTGTTTGGAACAACTAGGTAAATATGAACATATTGAATTTGTATTATTCCTGACATTTGACTGACATTACATCACATTGACAATTATCCTAATTTGTATCAATTCTTATATGTTAGATGTATCGAGGATTCGCGGTGCCACCATCAACCTGCACAACACTAGCTCAGCTACCGGCGTCACCTGCTACACCTTCCCCTCCGACACTCAAGAGGCTGACGGTGTCTATGACGTCACGTGTGACGGTCACGGGAGGTACTTGACAATCAGTCACGATAACCAGACACTCAATCTGTGTGAAGTGGAGGTGTACGGTAAATATAACGTAAATATAATACAATAGCTGAGCCGCCATTTCTTAGATATTACAACCACAACCCCTTCCATATGAGGAAACAATTTACGAGATAAAACATCAGTTTGCTTCACGTGCCAGAAACAGAGATCCTCTCTTGGTTAGATGACCTTGACCTAGATGAGTTCACCAGTGAAAGGTTATACATTTCGTTTTGGTTAATATAAACTACATATAGATATAACGTAAATATAACGATCTAACTGAGCGGCAACATATCCTTACATATTACCCTTGTGATGAAGAGGCAATTGATGAGGTAATACAGCAGCTTGTCACACGTGCTAGGTATAGCCTTGATCTATCTGAGGTAATCAATGAAAGGTCATGTTTCTTTTGATTTCACATTAAATCACAAGACTTCATTTATTTTTTCACTTTAATAAATAAACCCATACAAGAATGCTTGAAGACATATGTACATTTAAACACATATGAAACACTGTGTTTCGGACTTATAGTTCACATATTAATCATTAACTGTTTCCACAATTTGTCAACAAACATATGTTTATTAAAACTACAGCATGACATTAAAAGTTTACTTGCAACTTTCTATGCAAATGTAGTGAGTTAGTGAGTGAGTATGGCTTTACGCCGCTTTTAGCAATATTCCAGCAATATCGCGGCGGGGGACATCAGAAATGGGCTTCAAACATTGTACCCATGTCGGGAATCGAACCTGGGTCTTCGGCGTGACCGCCAGGCTACCCGACCGCCTCTATGCAAATGTAGACACGTGACTGTTGAAACCGCTGTGTACTTTGATACGCCGTTATATAACTGGGATACTGTTCCAAGCGTTAAACCCCCCTCCCCCTTTTCATTAGAATAGTGTTTCTGCCTGTTTCAGTGTGTAGCAATGGCTCATACGGAACACACTGTGACGAATTTTGCAGGGGGTGTCTAAATGACACGTGTGACCCTGTCAGTGGTATTTGTCCTGGCGGCTGTAGACGAGGGCGCCAGGGACCAACATGTGCAGGTGAGGGGATTCAGTCAGTGGTGCGTGTCATTGGACATTCTGGCGAAAAGTGCAAAAAATAGGCCCGATGGCATTTTTAGTACATTATGACATCAATACTAGAACTGTTGCTAAGGCATCAAGGAACACTACCAGGGTGTATGCCATCCCTGAATCCATTTTTGCATTTAAGGGGTCGTATAAAAAGTTTAAAAAAAAAAATTCTTCAGTAATTTATTTTATCAAAATAATTCAAAATAATGACTGCTATTGCTCATAAGACCATAAATGTCCTTAAACAAGCAATTTTTTGGTTTATCTGGAGATTGAAAGGGATCGTCTCAAAAGCTGCTGTGCTATTTTAACGACTTTTTATTATTCAGCCAATGATGAAAACCGAAGTTTTTAAATAAATGAAAATAGGAATAATGAAAGCAATGAACATCAATGTATTCACATATGAAACACATGATAATACATTACAATAACGTGTAAATAGTTCAACCCTTTGATACGTTTCTCCATTTCTCCACGTTCATCCACGTTACACATGCACATCATTGAATACTTCACATTCTACAACAGCTTCACAGTTGTTCAGTCTGATTTAAAGTACTCTACACAGTCGGATCATTCCATTCTTCACATCTGGGTGTTTCTTGAAAGCTTTCCAAGTGGTCTTTTTGCCATATCCACAGAAGCTTGATTTCGCACCACAGCCAGTGAAAGCATGATATGCAAGGAGATTCTTTCGCATTGATGTTGTTGTTGAATTGTATGAACAGGAATGTGTTTGTTTCTTTTCTAAAACATAAATCGTCTGTAAGCTTGTCAGAAAAATGAACACACAGCACCAACACATCTGTGTTAATTTGACTACAGTTCTTTCATAATTGTGTGATCTTGTATCTACAGCATGCAAAAGGAGTCTGGTGTTTGAGATTTGCTAAATCTCCTTGTCTCGAAAATGCTACGTTGTTTTCATTTCAAACCCGCCTGCAGTGACAAGTTCACACTCCTCGGGAATGCCTCCCATTCGGTGCACTAGCTGAGAAGCTGATAGGACACCTGTTGGATTGTAGGCCTTTTGGAATAAAGACATGAACATTCTCACCAAATGTTTCCAACACATGGTCAAACATGATGATGTCTATTCGTCACCTACGGATATGTCAGCCACGTTTGACAAGTTGACAAGTTTCTTGAACCTTGTAGCTTGATGGATTGTCATCCCAAGTCTGATGTATTTGAGTGTCAAATTTTGTCCATCTGATACGCCATAAACATGGTCCTGTGCTATATCGTGAATCCTGTTCTTTTCTGTCTAGCATAAGGAACAGGCACTTTGGAATAACATCTTTCACATGTTTTTCGTCAATCCCATTCCATGACTGGTAACCTGGTACATCCTTCATATCTTGTCAAATCCTCAGCATGACATGGATAAGTGATGTGACAAAGTCATCTTTTGGAGGTGGGTGAAACGACTTCCTAAAGTCATTTTCCTCTTTATGTTCCAAAGGCGCTCTTACTAGGAGTATGGCATTTTTTGACAGTGATGTTGGAAAGATGAGAGGTTTCTGTCAGTCTCACCTCGAGATCTTGAAAGATCTGCTTTGAAACTTGCTCTTCGAGACTGGAACTTCTGCTGTGGTTCATCCCCAAACATTTCTGTTTTGTCCAAGTATCTCTGCCAAACATTTGCTTTTCCTTCTCTTCTTGCCTGTTCAGTTTTTTCTTAAAAACTCGGACTAGCATCTCAGATGCTGCTTTGCCTCTGATGCCATTAGATCATTCACATTAGCTAGGCACGGGCTTTACTGCATTGTCTGTTTAGCTTAACATCAGATCTTATTTTGAGGTTATTGAAAGTTGAAACATGTCTCAGGTCCGAAAGTACATCCAACTACTTGACAGAAGATACATAACGCATTTAATGGCTACCACAGAGCTTCTTGATCGGAGATTTTCATTCATTTCAACTCCTTGATTTTGGTGATACTGCCCTCTTGTCCACTCCTGATTCCTTTATTGTCACTTGATAGGCAAATGAAGCATCTTGAAATACTAACATCTACATCAAGAGCTTTCCTTTTCAAATTTGCTACCTGCTCCATCCCCGGTTGATGCTTACATCACACCTGGAATGGACAGAAACATTAAATAGATTTTACATCATATATTATATATGTATTCTTGTAAAAGAAGGAAAATAGTCAGTAAAGTTGTCAGGAAAGAAGTTTCTGGCACACATTGTTTATATTTAACTTATACTGATGAATGTCATGAACTTTGGTCATAAATAAATAATTCAGTAGAGGCCCGAAGGCATGGAAACTAGTCATCAAGAAAATAGTATTTTATTATTCACCCAAAAACTTTCACTATTAATGAAAGTATTGACAACCTGGCAAAAAATATATGTTCCTTAACATTTCTTGAATGCATTGACAAATATGCAGGCTTGCTATATGCTTCTATTTCTTCTTTAATTATTATTGAGTTATAACTGAAAACACTGCTGAGACTAGTTTACGACATTAACTTCATCCTTGTCATGTTCCTTAACTATTTATTGCTGAGATTATTTTAAGTATATATCTAATATGCAAAAACATGTTCCCTAGTCACTAATACACAAATGTATTCGTAACATAATTTCCATTCTTTTCAATGTAGGCATGTAAGATGGGTAAAATGCAGGTAGCTGACAAGGTAACTAATGTAAAACAAACTTGACTGCAAGTGCAGGAGATTGTATTACGTGTCACGTAACTTCTTCTAGTGTTCATGTGTAATGCTGGTCTTCAACTGGGTGATAATTTATTTGAGGCAATTTTTTACAGTACGCATTTGTTTTATCACAATTCAATAAATCCGATCCGCTTAGGGTATATAGCGCTCAGCATATCCGTCCGTCAGTTCGTCTGTCCGCAACGTTTGTTGTTCCTTGCGTAAGTCCTCAACCATTCAACAGAAGTACATGAAACTTCACGACGATGTTCACTGGGAGGAATTGTTATTATATTTGCAAACAACTATTTCACATGTTCAGACCAAAGCAGTAATTTTCATTAGTTTTTAAAATAAAGGTATTTTAAGCATCACAATCTAAATGTCAAAATATTTTGAATACGATCCCCCACACCCATTCCCTCACACCCCACTAAAATTGAAACAAATGTGTCATTTTAGAAATAAAAGCTGATATCCATTTGTCCATTGTTTGATAGTTTTGACGTTTCTATTTACTTGAATGCGTCTAAGAAATCGAACTTACCACAATCTCATTAAATTCAGATCTAAGTTCTCGCTGCCGCTAAACAAAGATCTGAGGACATCCCATTACGGATCATGTCTGAACGACCTTTCGCGAACTTTTACCGGCCACTGAAATGACTAACAAGAAGTCGACATCAGCCGATTAGAAAGCAGCTTTCTCGAGCTTAAGGGCACTCGTTTCAATCTGGCGACTTCCATTTCAGACTACGCTTGAAAAATATGTTGACACAGTTCTCGGTTAAAAATTTGAAAACTTAACAAACGAACATTCCGGAATGTCTAATATATGGTTGAGATTGTATGGCAGTGCTTCCCACGCACTGTGCAACGCCTCCTCCGTTCAAATGTTTATCCTACGGAAGCGACAGATAGACGATACGTTTGACGGAATTAGTCGTACGGGCCATAACTGTTGTTCGGAATACCCCGTGTTAACGTTTTCGAGGTTGCATGATTAGAAAACACATTACGACTGTCACTTTCACGATCTGGTAAGCGACGCGCTGATTGGTCGGATGAAAGGTCGTTCTGACGTGACCCGTGGTGGGATGTCCTCAGATCTTTGTTAAGCGATAGCGAGAGGTGATGATATTCAGCTAGCGCTGGGTATCAAAGGGCGGGTTGATAAGAAATATGCTACATTTGTATTTTCAATGATTAAGGATCTCCAGATCAAAATATATATTCTGTGTTTCTAATTCATTACAAACAGTGTCATGTTATATATTCGTTTTAGAAATACAAACGTGTATTAATCACTTTCCATCTAACCAAAATTGTCCAGAATGCCTTGATGGACGGTATGGTATCTACTGCGATAAGTTCTGCAACTCCCGCAACTGCATTACAACGTCATCCTCCTGTGACGTCACAGGGGCTTGTACAGATGGGTGCCGGGGCGGTTGGATGAACACGGACTGTCGACAACGTGAGTTGAAGCAATATCACAACCTCTTGTAACCTGAAACTGTAGACAACGCGAGTTGAATCAATATCACAACCTCTTGTAACCTGAAACTGTAGACAACGCGAGTTGAATCAATATCACAACCTCTTGTAACCTGAAACTGTAGACAACGTGAGTTGAATCAATATCACAACCTCTTCTAACTTGAAACTGTAGACAACGCGAGTTGAAGCAATATCACAACCTCTTGTAACATGAAACTGTAGACAACTTGAGTTGAATGAATATCACAACCTCTTGTAACATGAAACTGTAGACAACTTGAGTTGAATGAATATCACAACCTCTTGTAACATGAAACTGTAGACAACGTGAGTTGAATGAATATCACAACCGCTTGTACATGAAACTGTAGACAGTTGTCAACCTCCAGTAACCTGGGATTTTGTATGGAGACTGAATGTTTTTTCCCCAGCTAAACAGGATGTTTTTAAAATTAAAACTTTGATTCTGAATATTTATTTCTAAAAGTCACCTTGGAACAATGTAATATTTGTAGCGGCCAAATTTATTTTTCAACAATCTGAAGCATGAATTGTTTTTTAAAGAATATTCTGGGACAATCTATTGTTTTCGACAATTTCCCCCGCCCCCGCCCCAGAATATCAAATGTTCATCCCCTAGTACACTCTCTTGTAACGAACACTAAACAAAAAGCTTCATATATTGCACATATAATCTATTTGCAAGAAGGTCTAAGATATGTGTGTTGTTGGAATGTATTTCTGTTACTGATTATTGTAACCAGTGATCGAGAGGCTTTTCAAATATATTTGTTATCGTTGTATTTAAATAGTGTTCTCCTACAATAGTTTGCACTTCTGTGTGTATGACGTTTCCAGCATGTCCAGGCAGTACGTACGGGACAAACTGTAGCAAGTCCTGCAATTCCCGCCATTGTCAGACTCCATCTTCTTCCTGTGATCCCGTGACTGGTGCCTGTGATGGAGGTGTGTGTGAAGATGGATGGCTTGAAACTGACTGTGCAGAAAGTAGGTTGGTTCAGCGTCAGTAACACCTCTTGAGTATGACCGTAACTGAAATCACTGATACGTCACATTTGGAAATGTCCACAACATGTCTACCATTACACCTTTTGAAATCTTTACTGAGGCCTTAAATTTTGTAACCTTGATAAAAACTTTTGAGCAACAGTCGCATGACGCTTTTTGAAATCTTCGTAGAAAGAGCATGGTCGATTGTACTTCAAAGGTTTTGAAATGTGGACACCAAAGACTGCTTGAATATTTCTTGACATTACGGGAAAGGTGGTTAAATCAGTGGAAGGGAATGGTTTTTTTAAATGTTATAAACGATATAAGATCATCTATAGATCTGAAGCTAAAGTTCAAGAAAATAAACCTGACACTTAAGAAGGAAGTTTTACCTTATACCTATAGTAATTCATGTTGTCAGGTTTTTGTGTTTTGTCGAAACTGTCCATATTAATACCGATAGATATTTTGCTTATTTAAGAAAGAATTCGTTTGAACAGAATTAAGCAGATGTAACCTGTTTGCTAAACGTTCGTGCGAGTCTATCGTAGATACGTTGGTCCATCAATTACATTGTTATGTATTTTATGCAGGTAAATCCAGCATATATGCTGCTCACATGAGCTATACATTTTTGACATGGAGTAATGTGTCAAAGACAAAGTCATGATATGTGAGATTCTATTATTGATACAGTGTTCCATGGATTTAAAAGTTATGCATTAGTTACAAAAGTAATATTATGCTGGTAAAAATGAACTTAACAAAAGGCTCGATATAAATAAAACTGCTGTGTGTGTTTCAGCATGTAAGGCCGGCACATACTGGCCTGACTGTTCTCGGTGTGGACACTGCGACGTCACGTGTGACGTAATAGACGGCCGCTGTCCGGGAAAGTGTCTGGATGGCTTCACTGGTGTCCGATGTCACGTGGAAACAGGAAGTACGTATTTGTAGAACTGTGTTAGTTCCAATGCTGATGACTATCATCAGAGCAATGTGTAGGCTTAAGCATCCTACGTTGAAGCACCTAGATTGAAAATCAAACGAAAGAGATAGTTTGCATAGAAAAGCAATTCGTAGTAGCATCATAGAAAAGACGAATAGGACACATGCATATAAACACACACGTACATAAACACATACATACATACATACAAACACATACATAAACACACACGTACATAAACACACACATACAAACACATACATAAACACACAGACACACACACACACACACACACACACACACACACACACACACACACACACACACACACACACACACACACACACAGAGAAGGAACAGTAGGGAGATCTTAATATTCCATAATATTTTCTAACCTATTCTTTATTTTACATAGCAATACTGATGTGGAGTGTCATTGGAGTAGGATTCGTTGCAATGCTGGGGTTGCTTTATGCTCTCTGGAGGTAATCATCTGATCATTCATCTAATTGCATGCGTACATTATTCTGTAAAATGTATATGTTACACCTAATCTGTGCAATTGCCAATTACGTGCATTGCGCAGACCGTTTGTCGAATGCGTGCAATAGGTAATACAGCTTGGCCAATGCACGCTATGTGCAAACAATTATAGTTGTGAATGAAAAATAATTATCTAAATATTTCACAATATGGGCAACCAGCTTGGTCATTTCCCGCAACGGGCAAGTAATTGTTCTTCCCAAAGCACGAAATTGACATTGGTATTGTTTTACATGTTTTGTTTTAAATAAAGTAAACTCTCATAAGAAAATAATCTGTAATAAATAACAACCAAGCAAATATGTGTCCTTAAGAAACTTTATTTTCTAAATAAAAACTCAAACAGTGTTATCTGCATATAAAGGGTCTCTGAATCACATCACCTCTCAGTTCAGTCCCAGTTTGCACAGGAGTTGTGGCTATGGCATGGACTATTGCATCTCAACCCAAAATTCAAACAGGAGAACCTATTTGTCAAACATTTGCTTCTGCATTGGCACCTGCGGTAACCCTGTCCACCACAAACGCTCTGTGCTCTCGCGATTTCACGTACAACTGAAGGTTTCGGTCCAGAATATCGTACAAACTCAAATTGATTTCTTGCTAGTCGCCCACTTATTGTTCCCTTAAACGCCCTGCCCAATGTACGCAATGGGCAGTTACATAGATTGGGTGTAACATATACATTTAAAAAAAATGGTCTGTTAAATCTCATATTGATGAAGTATTTGATGCATAGCATAGTGATGACACCAGGTATTCGCGAAAAAGCTCAACCGATGGCACCCGACACAAATACATGCGAAGGCAAGTCAATTCATCTGAAATTGCTCGACCATAAAACCGTTTCAAGGCTTTGCTGAGGCCTGGCTGTTGATCAAACTTTGATCAAACAATTTTTGAGCAGGAGTCGTATGTTGCTCTTTGAAATCTTCATGGTTAGAGCATGTTCAATTGTACCTCAAAACTTGTGAAACGTAGACACCAAAGGCTGAAGTTGCATGAATAATGGTCGACATAAAGGGAAATTTGACTGTTGGAAAGTTGAAGTCATCCCTCTTGTCGTTCAGTCTTGTTCTTGAGAAGTTTTTTTGGTCACTATGAATATATTTGGATATGAAACAGATGAGGCGGTTTCTTTTTTTCTAGTTCTGGTGGGTGTAGCAGTGAAAGGGACTTGACTAGTTGACCGTTATCAGATCTTCGATATACTTGAAGCTCAAGTTAAACATTTTTGACAAATTCCCTGATTTTGCCAATCCGAGCACAATTCCGATTCATGTGTATAAAGAAGGAGAGCACAATTGGTGCCAATTAGGATGCCCACTACTTGCCTAATGGTCGTCACATTTCGCATAGATGTTATCAATGAGAAAGTCCAGCATTTCACATATTGTTTTCTGAGTGAAATTCATATGACAGTTTCATGATCACTATCATCCATCAAATCGTGTACATATCAATTCCAGGTTTCTACGGAGATCAGATCAAGAATACGAGGTTGTAGCTCGTCGTGACGTCAATGACCAATCAACAGAAGGGAGTCAGCAGGCCGAAAGTGACGCTGGTGTGACCAACAAAAACAAAGTCTATTCTTGTTTAGATTACTATGTCAACAAGCTGAAGGATAAAACACCATTAAGTGGAAGTTCCATTAAGGACCAGGAAAATAAGAATTTAGAAATTCTTGATTTTTAAATCAAAATATCAGCCTTATGATTGACACAGTTGATTTTACGGTCAGGACACCGCGGAAGCCTAGGGAAGTATGCGATCCGCAGTAACGGTAGGAAGGCAGTTTCAAATACGATATTCAGAAATGTAGGCGCAGAGAGTAGTGTAGAGATGTGGTTCCTGCACTGGTCAAGGCCTGCAATGCATTTTGGGCAGAAAACAATAGAGGCATTAAAAGAAAAGGGTCAGTTAACACAATGCAAATATATATATTGAAGTAAGTAATATGATATACCATTAATACATTTTATTAGATAATTAAGGGTACTTTTTCAAAACTTCCATATGATAGTAGACATTAATCACTAGATGAGTTTAGGCTGGTGGTTTTGATATATATGAATGAATGTTAATTGATTTGATTAAAAAGCCATTGATTTGAGTAATTATTTAACTGGATTAAAGGAGCACGAAATTTTCAAAGAGCTGCCAATGGATTTATTCCTGGTAATGTAGAAGTTGATCACACTACGTGAGGTTTAACCTATCAGGTTGACAAAAAGCTCATAAGATTGTTATTCAAAGAGCATCATTATCGTGCTCAAACTTTGTTTGATTGGGGCTACTGTAGGCCTCAGTAAAGATTTCAAAAAGTTTTTGGTAGACTTGTGCAGGACATATCCAACTTGACTCATGAGTAACAGACATGGTGTCTTATCCGATTCCTTATTTTAATTTGTACCATATATTCCCATATTTTTCTCGAACACCTAGTATCATCATCTGATAATGATCTAAAACACACGGAAATGACGGAGGCGGAATCATACAATGAACATTGCGTTTAATAGAGATTTCGTATGATTTTTGCAAAACAATATAAATATTATTATGAAACCAGCAGGAACAAAACAACACGATGAACACTTTGGCTTGTTGCCTCTGTTTGCCATTCACTTTACGCCCTATGTTATTCGCGTCTGAGGCACCGACGTTTTGAATTTACCAGTTTTCATAAAATGAAAGTAGATTTGTTATTGCCGCATAGTGTACTCTAACTAACTAATTGGAGAGAGGTTGTATTCATACAGTTTGCAGTTTGGTGTTATGCAATAACCCGAAATATAATACTGTTTAAGTGACTATCACCACTGATTCTGTAATTAATCATGATTGGGAATCCGCATGTTGCTCCCATGCATAGTAATTCGGAAGTGTTGACGCCCCTCCTAAAGTAGTCCGGAAGTGTTGACGCCCCTCCTAAAGTAGTCCGGAAGTGCTGACGCCCCCCCGAAAGTAGTCCGGAAGTGCTGACGCCCCTCCTATAAAAGGTATGAACGGCAACATGTATCAATCATTCCCTCATGAACATCAGTTTTATTTCCCCTAAACCTACCTTGATTTATTTCATCATTCAATATATGTTTTTGTGTAAAATACATGACCTTATATTTGAACTCACAGAAACGAAAGAACTGATATAAAGGCTCAAAATTTAATTATTCTGATAATGAAAATATGTTTTGCGCACTGCTGAACATAGCGATAATAATGTATCGTACACGGATTAGATTACCAATAAAATAGGTTCCTCTCCTTTCTGTTCTGTTGTAATTTACCAGATTAGACAGACTTTTCTTATAGGTAGCATTCAGAGCCTACACCGGGGACACTATCTACAACGTGACTGTCCGTCTACAGTAACGTAACTACCAGATGACGATGGAACTAATGGTATCTGAGTCATAGACTTGTCCGTGTGAGTGAGAAGCCAGGGAGGCTCTGTAGCTGTCCTGCTTGTTTCTGGAATATTTGCAACCTGTGAACAGAAACCATGGACACGCAAACGAGTAACAGAACACACTTTAAGCGGTTCTTACAAAAATTCAAGATTTCTCCACAAAATATATCTCAATGATGTTATCAAGTTCTTGTGTAAACCTGACATCAACGCTAGAACTGGATAACTGGATATAGTCACACCGAAGGGTGAGGAGACGCAAAACTGTCATCAAACAAAAAAACTAGAAAATACAAGAATACAAGAACAATGCTGCCGGCTGGTTACAGATATACGCATGTAGAGTCAATAACTTTTGTGTTGTCAGTTGTTGTTCTTTTGTTATCACATTTGTAACATATCAAGGAGTTATTTAGAAGATACATATTTTTCTTACATCTATTCAGCACAACATCAAACAAATATTACAAAACGAAATATTTATCGTCATTGTAACATGAAAGTTACTTAAAATCGATGTTTAGGTGGAACTCATTTACTGAATTACGCAACCGAACTGTTGTTAGCAGAACGTCTCCGTATGCTTACCTTCGGCAACATGTATGGCATGAGGGGCGGCGACATAGACACCGACACCGACACCGTTTTGGAGTACAGCAAACTACGGTTAAACGATATAACGAACTCAAAGGGACCACAAAGTTTAGTTCGTAATAACTGTAGGTAGTTATACGAATATTTAAAGCATTTATACAGCAAATGGCCTGGACCAAAAATATGTTCGTTATATCCGTGAGTTCGTTATAAGCGTGTTCGTTATAAACGTAGTTTACTGTACTCCAATTATGATCGTAATTTTTCCAAAGGGGTGCACACGTTTTTACGCTCTTTTGTAAATAACAACACACAGCATTCATAAATTAAATTCTTTATCACAGTTTTTTTTCTCATTTGTATTTAAAATTTTGCAGGCATGTTTATCCTCAAGACGTATATTCTGTATGACCCCTATCAAAGATAGCGTCAGCTCGCCTGAAATTGAGGTGGCGACTGAAACAAGTCAAGTCAAACACGTGCGAGATTTGAACTTTATTGAGGCCAGAGTAATGGGAAGTTCCTTCATCATGTTGCCAATAATAGTCACACCAAATGACCTCGGGATGTACCATTCAGTGTCGTCGGTGTGAACTAGTCACGTGGAAGCATGGTTCAAAACCTGGACATCAAGCGATTCTGGAAGTTGGTTGGTTTGTTTGTTGTTTAACGCCGCACTCAGCAGTATTCCAGCTATATGACGGCGGTCTGTAAATAATCAAGTCCGGACCAGACAATCAAGTGATTAGTATCTTGTGCATCGATCCACGCAACTGGGATACGATGACATGCATCAAACCAAGTCGGCACTCGTGAAGAGCAACCTCCTCGTGGTGAGTGCTGGGTAACGCTAATCGCTCTTCCCCCGTGTGGAACCGGGGCAGAATATTTCCACAGCCTCCCATTGCTGGTCGTATGAGGCGACTAAAATGGGCAACCTGTTTGCCGTGGGTTGCGTCCCTGTGTCGGCGGAGGACGGGAGTCTGGTAGTTGAGGGCACTGGTTCCTGGAACTGTGTTCCTTTGTCCAACACACTACTTCGACCCTTACTTCGCCTAGACGGGTGGTAAGATGGGCCCGGTCTTATCAATCGGCTGGTCATGCCAGGCCCTGTGCGTAATATTGTAAATGCACACATGTGTTGTATTTTGATGTCTATTTTGGCCTTGGCCATGCATAATTTGTGTGAATTAACTATTTTGGATTATGTAAATTGCCTAGAGTCTTACGCCAGAAGGCGGTGGCTCATGGGCCAATCTGGTGATGTTGACCTCCGAATAATATATGTCTCCAACTTCTGTCAATGGCGGAACCAGTCTGGCATAGAGTTGGTAGATAAATGTAGCTATTCGCGTCATATTTGCTGGAGTATAGAACCCCTGTATCCCTGGTGTTTGCATCTTGGATATCCGTTGCAATGTAACACCGTCACTGTTGACGCTCCATGGTGGGTGGGGAGCGGGAGTTCTGAACTACTTTCTGTCATCATGTCTCTCCCACAACTTGGTTCCAATAGAAATGAAAAAAAGAGACGACTAGAAATTGACAATTCAACGGACAGTGTATCTCAAAACATAGATTCGTGGTCTAGATTTCTGGTGATTGAGGCCCAGGATCAATTGCCCCTTAAACTCAACCCTTTTGCGATTTCGAAAGCCGTTTCTGGGATTTGTGGCGAGGTTAAGAATGTCACGCGTCTCCGTGGTGGTTCCCTCTTGGTGGAATGTTTGCGGAGGCAGCAATCTCTTAATCTTTTGTCCATTCATGTATTTGCAAATGTAGAGGTTGTTGTGTCCGCACACAGGACATTGAACTCTTGCAGAGGTATTGTTCGCGATAGAGCTCGTTGCCTGGCTGACATGTCAGAAGATGAAATCACTGCAGAGTTGGAGGATCAGGCTGTCACGGCTGTTAAACGCTTTACCGTCAAGAAAGAGAGTGGCATTCAAAATACAAATACATATATGCTGACTTTTGCACGCTCATCTATTCCCCAATCTATTAAAGCAGGTTATAACAACATCGGAGTGGAGGTGTATGTCCCCAATCCACTCCGATGTTTCACTTGTCAACACTTTGGACATGGTTCAAAATCATGTCGTAACTCAGTGGTTTGTTCTCGCTGTGGTGACGATCATGATGGAACCAGTTGTACAAATGCTGCCAAATGTGCTAACTGTGGCAATGACCATGTCGCCTCATCCAAGTCCTGCCCTGTGTGGCAGACAGAATCTAAAATAATCAAAATTAAATGTGAACAAAACATTTCCTACAATGATGCAAAACAACTTGTAAAAAAACAGTCAACATCTCCCTCAACTTTGCATTATTCTGCAGCTGTTTCCCGTCCTGTCGCTACTTCCTCTATTCATTGTCAGACTGATTTGTCTTGGATTATATCTGATCAACCAGTTCCAACCAAATCAGTTACTCCTCCAAAGTCAGTTGAACATCAGCCTAGTTACTCAATCACTTACTCTACAGCAGAAACTCAGACCAGTAATCAGAATGTGGGTCAATCTGACCCAGCTGTTACAGCACCAGCCGTTGACATCGTCCACTCATCAAAAAAAGGAAAGAAAAAACTGAACAGACAAGCTGCCAGGGTACCCTCTCCACCAGAGGTACCAGTTCACAACTCCTTTGAACCTCTGGACATGGAGGTAACTCCGTCTTTGGAGACCAGAAGGAGTTCCTCTCCCTCACGTTTGCGTGGGAGATCACCAATTGAGCCACCATGAATCAATCATCAAATTTAATTCAATGGAACTGTAGAGGACTTAGGAATAATTATGATGATTTACAACTCTTAATTCAGGATTTTAAACCATCTGCATTCTGTTTACAAGAAACATATTATAAAGACACTGACAAATTTGATATTAGAGGTTATACCTCATACAATTTCTTTTCACCTCCAGGTGCTAAAGCCACTGGAGGTTCTTCAATTTTAATAAAACACGACGTCATCCATAGCCCCGTTCATCTTACTACTCCCCTTCAAGCTGTTGCAGTCCGTGTAACTTTGCACATAATTTTTACTTTGTGCTCGTTATATATTCCACCATCTACTTCTCTCCGACAGTCTGAACTTCAAGCTCTCTATGATCAACTCCCCAAGCCCTGTGTTATAATGGGTGATCTCAATGGTCATAATCCACTTTGGGGTAGTGTTCAGACAAATAATAAGGGGAAGCTTTTGGAAGACTTCATTTCAAACAATGACTTATGTATTTTTAACGATGGTTCAAACACATATCTACATCCCGGTACAGGTACTTACTCTGCACTGGATTTATCAGTTACAGGTTCTGCTTTATTAAACGAATTTGAATGGTCTGTCCATACAGACCTATGTGGCAGTGATCATTTTCCAACCATTTTAAAACCTGTCTTGCCTTCAGATGTTCCTCCTTCAACACGATTGAACTTCAATAAGGCCAACTGGCCTTTGTTTGAAATGCTTGCATCCACTAAATTAAAACCTGATCTGTTTCTTGACGCTACTGATCCTGTGCAATTATTTTCAGATGAATTGAACAAAATAGCAGATGAATGTATTCCTAAGTCCTCTACAAATCCACATATCCGTAAACCATGGTTCAATAATGACTGCAAACAAGCTAGGAAGGCACGGAAAAAGGCTGAACACTTTTTCCGTCGCCATCCCATGGTCCATAATTTGAATAAATATAAAATCTTAAATGCTAAAGCCAGGCGTACGTTTAAACAAAACAAACGGCAATCTTGGCAACATTATGTTTCCAAGATAAACTCGCGAACGCCCATGTCCAAAGTATGGAACATGATACAAAAAATTAAAGGTAAGGGTTCTAAATGTAGCGTCCATCATCTTAAGAATGGGGATGAACTACTAACTAATAAATCGGATATTGCAAATAAACTAGGTGAAACGTTAGCTAAACATTCTTCTTCCTCAAATTATGTCCCTCAATTCCAAAAATTTCAAAAACAGCAGGAAAAGAAAACTATAAATTTTAAATCAGATAATGGGGAAGATTATAATGAAATATTTTCGATCCATGAACTTCATACAGCTCTTGGACAAGCTCATGATACTGCTACAGGAGCTGATAATGTACACTATCAACTCCTGAAGCACTTACCAGAACAGTGTTTAGAAACCCTTTTGTTGATTTTTGATGATATATGGACATCAGGTAAGTTTCCTTCTTCCTGGCGTGATGCCATAGTTATACCCGTACCGAAACCTGGACGGGATCACAGTGATCCCTCAAATTATAGACCCATTTCATTGACCAGTTGCGTTTGCAAAACCATGGAACGCATGGTCAACAATAGATTAACATGGTACTTGGAATCAAATAATTTACTTACAAATATCCAGTGTGGCTTTCGAAAGAATCGCAGTACCGTTGACCATTTAGTACGGTTAGAATCATTTGTGAAAAATGCAATCATTAATAACCAGCATGCAGTGTCTATCTTTTTCGATTTAGAAAAAGCGTATGACACAACGTGGAAACACGGGATTTTAAAGGATTTACATGATTTTGGATTGAGAGGCCGTTTCCTGAATTTATATCCAAGTTTTTAACTGGCAGACAATATTCCAGATCCGCGTGGGTTCTACCCTGTCTGATCATTATCATCAGGATCAGGGTGTCCCACAAGGCAGTATTTTGTCTGTAACTTTATTTAGTATAAAAATAAATAGTCTTTCAAAGGTTTTAAGTGATTCAGTAGATGGATCCCTTTTCGTGGATGATTTTAATGTTTCTTGTCGAGGTAAAAATATGCATACAATAGAGAGGCAGTTACAAATCTGTCTCAATAAAATTCAAAAATGGTCCCTCGAAAACGGGTTTAAATTTTCGAAATCAAAAACTAATTGTATACATTTCTGCAGAAAATATAAGCCGCATAAGGACCCTGAACTATATTTAGATGGCACCCCTATCAAAATTGTTCAAGAGGCCAAATTCTTGGGCCTTATTTTTGATAGTCATTTAACTTTCCTTCCGCATATTAATTACCTTAAAGCTAAATGCCTGAAGGCACTCGATTTGTTGAGAGTAGTTTCAAATTCTAAGTGGGGAGGGGATCAAAAAACCCTCCTACACTTGTACAGGTCATTGATCCGTTCAAAACTCGATTATGGCTCCATCGTATACGGTGGAGCCTGCAAAAGTAACTTAAAAAAACTGGATACTGTCCATCATCAGGGCCTAAGGCTTTGCCTTGGAGCCTTTAGGACGTCTCCAATTCACAGTCTGTATATAGAAGCAGATGAACCTTCTCTTAAACATCGCCGTCTGAAATTATCATTACAATATGTTACTAAATTATATTCAAATCAGTCAAATCCAGCTTTTAACTGCGTCTTTAATCCTCTTTACCAAGATATTTATAATAAAAAATCGTCTGTTATTCCACCACTTGGAATCCGAATCCAGTCTGACATGTCTGCCGCAAATATTAAATTGCAAGATATAGCTCCCTTTCAACTGTTTACATCACCTCCTTGGCAAATGGTAAGGCCAGAGGTAGATCTTTCCTTAACAAAATTAAAGAAATCAGTTACTAACCAATTAATTTATCAACAAGAATACCATCAATTAAGAAACACTTACGACACTTATAAATCTATATTTACAGATGGATCCAAGGATGGTGGCACAGTTGCTAGTGCCACCGTCATTGGATCCAGAACATTATCTTCACGATTACCTGATAGCAGTTCCATATTCACAGCAGAGGCAAACGCCATTTTTACAGCACTAAAATATATCAGTAATCAATCAAAACATACACAATTCATTATTTTCTCTGATTCACTTTCATGCCTTCAGGCAATTAAAAATATGTCATCCAAACATCCACTTTTAATCCAAATTCTCGAATTATTAAATGATCTTGCTACTGGCCAATATGACATCGTCTTTTGTTGGTTACCAAGCCATGTTGGCATCACTGGTAACACAATGGCCGATGCTGCTGCTAAAGCAGCACTCACCAAATCTGTGACACCACTTCTCATACCCTACACTGATTATAAACCTGCAATTAGATCTTACATTCGTGATCTGATGCAAAAGAAGTGGGACACCCAAGTAGGTATCAATAAATTACATGAAATTAAACCAAATATCGGTTACACCTACTTGGGCTGTCAGTCCAGATTTGAAGAGGTCATTATGCGACGATGTCGTATTGGCCACAGCAGATACACACATGAATATTTATTAAAAGGTGAGGATCCTCCGTTTTGTATCCCTTGTGATGAAAGAATCACGGTCAAGCATGTCCTGCTTGACTGCATTGATTTTTCCATCACAAGGGATAAATATTTCAATTCGTCATCTATTAAGGATCTTTTTAGCAGTATCGATTCTCGTTTAATCATTGGTTTTTTAAAAGAAATAGAGTTGTGTGCAAAATTTTGATTGTGTTTTGTGAAATATAAATATTTTATGATCGGTAGATTAAATTAGCAACTGAGAATGTTAGTGGCTGTATCCTCGAGGGGGGTTAAAGTACTGTAAAATTATTGTCCTCCTGAGAGGGTACATAAGTTCCACTTCTTTCAAGGTAAATTTAGAACTATCGTGTTTTTAATCGTAGAATATGTGTCATTTTAAGATGTAAGGCTAACTCTGCCAATAATCGCCACCACTTGAAGGGATGATGTAAATCCTGCTGGGACCCATGCAGGTAGCTAAGGTACTGTAAGTCCCCATGGTCCCCAGTGTGGTGATCTCCCTTCAGGGGCTTGCGATCTATAGCCCGTTTTTATCATGTTATTGTTATGTATAAGTGTTATCCTTTTTTATGATCCCATACTAGTTTTAAAATCTTTTTCTGTGATAAGTCTAGTACTTTTTACTGTCCTTCGTTGGCAGGTTTTTATATAAGTATAATTGTATTTATAAACATAAAACCTTGATAGTCACGATATGGCTGCAATATTGCCGATGTGACTTTAAATATAACTCACTCACTCACTCAAACCAAGTCAGCGAGCCTGACCTACCGATCCCGTTAGTAGCCTCTTACAGCAAGCTTAGTCGCCTGTTATGGCAATCATGGGTTGCTGAGGACCTATTCTAACCCAATACGGTTTTTTACAGGAAGGACGTCAACACTGCCGGACTACATTGCCTGGGGAAACCTGCGGATTCCAAAGCGTTATGAAAAACAGAATTAGTGTTGATAGTCAATTGAACAGTATTATGCTCCTGGGTATTGCTAACACCAAAATGCAAACTGTATATATTCAGTCTATGGCCAGTTTATTATGTTATGGCAACGGGAAAGAATATCCATCACATTTACATATATTCAATATAAACTGTTACATTCAAAACGTCAAAGAAACACAATTACCATTCTCGAATATCAATGGAGTACGGTAAACAAATAGAATAAGCCGAAGGATTCATCATATTTCCTGCTGGTCAGATAATAATAAATATAAAATGAGAAAAACCTTTCCCTAACCACAATAAATCCCTGCTAAACATTGTACGGATTCGACGATTTACGATTCCGACGATGACATAAGCATGTAATTTGGAACCGAGCGCTTTCAAAAGTAGAAATAAGAGGTATCTAATCTACTGTGGGACTACATCAAATCATTTCTTAGAAATCGATATGTCATCTCCCTATGTAGGGGTGATAGGTTGTAGAATTAGTAAAAATAATAATGAAGGAATCTAATTTTGTACAAAAATGTATTTAATGACCAGATTTTATATCTCCCAACAGAAAAATATTTATCTGTAGTTATGGTCAACATTAACCTGACCAACTCCTGGTTGAAATAAGCTTAAGCCTACCGGCACAACAACTGCCAACGGAAACATCCTCAAGTAGGGCTCAATACCACCTTTCGTTCAATCATAGGAGGGGCGGCCGGGTAGCCTAGTGGTTGAAGCGTTGGCTCGTCACGCCGAAGACCCGGGTTCGATTCCCGACATGGGTACAATGTGTGAAGCCCATTTCTGGTGTCCCCCGCCGTGATATTGCTGGAATATTGCTAAAAGCGGCGTAAAACTCACTCACTCACTCACTCACTCAATCATAGGAACGTTTTGAGGAAGATTCATCATACTGCTATCAACCTGCAGGTCATATATTCACAGGTGACTTCTCTGTTGTTGACAATAACAACCTTCGTCAGTCACAAAAGAACCAAGTTCCATTCAGTCAAAACATTTGATTTTCAAACTTTGTACACCACTACCCCACATGAAAAACTTAAGGAAAAACGTGGTGTACACAGATATAGTTACGTATCTATTTACAGAGGTTCAGGACAATTTGTAAAAAACGAAAGCAAATGCCATCTGAAGTTTACTGAGAAAACAACATGTGAAATGCTCGACTTCCTCACTGATAATATCTACGTAAAATTTAGGGATAAGACATTTAGGCAAGAAGTAGGTATCCCCATGAGCACCAATTGTGCTCCCCTTCTTGCAGATCTGCTTCTTTATGCATATGAACCGGAATTTCTGTTCGGATTAGCAAAGTCAAAACAAAGTAATTTGGTCAAGAAGTTTAACTTAAGCTCAAGTTATGTCGATGATCTGATATCGTTCAATAACAATCAAATAGCCAATTCCCTTCCACTGATTTACCCACCTGAACTAGAAATAAAGGAGACCAGTGAGACCATCTTATCTGTTTCATATTTAGATTTATGCATAAAGCCACAGAGTGTTTTTGTGACAAAACACTCTCAACTAGACTGTATGATAAGAGGGGAAGACTTCAACTTTCCAAAAGTCAACTTTCCCTTCATGTCAAGCAATATTCCAGCAGCTCCAGCCTTTGGTGTATACATTTCGCTACTTTTGAGATCGGGCATGCTCTTTCTACCAAGGTTTCCGAGCGCGCCATACGACTCTTGCTCAGAAGTTGTTTGATCAAGGTTACAAAAGTCAAGGCCTCAGTAAAGTTTTCAAAAAGATTAATGGTAGACATGTGGTGGACATTTCCATATTTGACGCATCAGTGACAAAATGATGTCCGATGTTTCCTTTTTATGCAGTGTAAATAACAGTGACACAGAGACCTTCAAATTCTCCAGAAATATCTGCCAAACCGAGTCAACCGTTCAATATCGACTATTTCATGAGCATGAGTTTATGAATTTATGATACCAGGGGTTCGCAAAAATGTGAACGTATTCTGCCCAATGGGTAGCACCCGTCACAAACACATGCAAGTCAAGTCAATTATTCACCTAAAAAACACGGGAACATATGGTACAAGTCAAATTAGGGAACTGCATCGGACTTCAATTTTGTCACTGATGTGTCAAATTTGGAAATGTCCACATTTCTAACATAAACCAATAACATGATCAACGTATGCTTTACTATTAATTAATCCATTGACAGCTTTTTGAAAACATCGTTATATATTTCCGTTTCCTGGCCGTTATTGTCACTTATACTGAATGTTATCATATGCTTTATTGTCAGCCTTGGTGACGTCATCTAAACCTGAATAGACGTTGTCGGTCACACCAGCCTCACTGCCAGCCTGCGGACTCTCTTCAGTTGATGTGTCTCTGTCTATGACGTCACTCATCTTCACAGGCTGGTTTACGTCAGCCGATCTCCATGACAACCTGGAACATATGATGGAAGATGATAAGTGATCACGAGAGAACAAGGCAATATGCATGTATGTGTGTATGTCTGTCGAATTATATCCAGGTTGGCAGATAAAGGGATATTTAAATTTTCATTTGTCCTAATTGTTATATGCATATTGCTTATACTTTTATGGAAACTTAAGGTCAGACTTGTAAATAACAAAATAAAAGGAAAATATCAGTAAACTTGAAAAATGATCCACAGAAGGTGTATTGATATATCACTGTACGTGTTAATGTGTGGACTGCAATGAGATTACCTGTGCATGTTTGTGTATGTGACTCTCATGGTTGTAGCAAACAACACAGGATCACCGAACGGTAAATGCAGCGTTTAATTGGACATGTAAAAGTGACATTTAAAGTTTACAAAAATCTCGAAAACATACTAAAAGAAAGTTGATTATTATGTTTACTATTAGTAAACGTTCTTCCTGTCGAATCAGATCTGAGTTAGAAATGAATAACTAACATAGCTTACATGTGTCTAATTCCTTCGTCCCAATGTATTTTTATTAACACTTGTTAACATTGTTTTTATTGTTTAGGAGAATGTTGATGGATATTTGACAAACTTTTGTGAATTAGAAGTGCCAATTAATGTTTGCAATTTTGAGAATAATGTAGGCATGCAATTAATGAATCGATAGAACATTTATGCCGATTACCTCCCAGTTCGCAAGAGACACATCACGAGAGCACCAATCAAAAGCAGCGTTACAACGATTCCAACAGCTCCACCAATCACACTCCACATCACTTGCGAGGAAGTCCTCACAGGAACAGCAGTCGTCACCGTGGACATTGTCTGTGCTATCAAAACGGAACTTCGGGTGAAAATACGCACGACGTGCTCAGAGATAAGTACCTAAGCACTATGAACCATTTTTGGAAAAGTTTTGAAACCGGCGATTTCAGTTCTCCCAATGTAGAAACTCGGTTGTAACGATGAGCTGTTAGAAGATACTATGGAGCTCCTACAGTAGAGTTTGAAGCATAAATAACATTTTACTCGATCCCTGTTTGTGTGTGTTTGTCTCTCTGTGTGTTTGTCTCTCTGTGTGTGTGAGTTGTCTGTATGTGTGTATGTGTGTATGTGTGTGTGGTGTGCATGTCCGTTTGCGTGCATGTGTGTCTCTGTGTGTGTGACTGTGTCTGTCTGTGTTTCTGTATATGTGTCTGTGCGTGCGTGCGTGGATGCGTGTCTGTGTGTGTGTGACTGTGTCTGTCTGTGTTTCTGTATGTGTGTCTGTGCATGCGTGCGTGTATGTGTGCTGTGTGTGTCCGTGTGTCTGTCCGTGTGCGTGGATGCGTGCATGTGTGTCTGTGGTTTTGACTGCTAAGAGGAATGCTTAATGTTACACAATGCTCCGATCGTAGTAGTTAGCATAGAAACTAAGACAGTTCTACAGGTGCATCGACAAATACATACTTCTTGTATCCACGTGACATCGGGCACCAGTGAAGCCATCCAGACACCTCCCTGGACAGTGGCCGTCCATTACGTCACACGTGACGTCACAATGTCCACACCGAGAACAGTCAGGCCAGTATGTCCCGGCCTTACAGGCTGAAACACAAACAGTATTATTCATATCTTTAGCATTGACACCACACTCCATACTTTGACAATTCAAGTGTCTTGTGTGTAGTGTCATATTGAGACCTTATATGCTGTATTTACCTGAATACATGCGGCTTTAATCTTTTTATCCATGAATCAATGCTAGAACCGCAAAAACGTTTTATTCAAAGGTATATTTGTGGGGGAGAATAGATTTTTATCATCTGAAACTGGCTCCCAGAGGAGATATTGCTTGGGTGAGATCAAGCGATATCTACACTGAAGATATCGCTGCAATGAAATTGCATCATAATTCTTTGCAGACCTTTGTGACGTCATTGGTTACCATGACGTCACAATCAAATGACATCACTAATGGCTCTGCTACTGAAGCTGTTTGCAGTACTTTTTAAATCTAAGACACTGTTTTTTACTGTCTACAAATTGAAAAAGTTGGAAGAATGATGTAAGATGATAAATAAAATCTCATCCTCGTGTCTTTTGATATCAGATATATCAACACTCGTTGATAAAAGTTAATTATAAAAAGACACTCTGGTGAGATTATCTATACCTCAACAATAACCCAGCCAATCGGTAATAATATGGACATTATTTACTTCCGGACAACATGCAAATATGTAATGACTATTGCTATAAGTTTAAACATCTTTCTAGAAAGTTACAAAAGTCACAAGATTAATGGAAGCTGTTCTGACAATTATATCGACTATTCTCTCAGATTCGGCAAATGACAAGAATAAAAAAAGACTGAAGACAAAAAAAGACACAAAGCGATATGAGAAGCTACGTGATAGATGTTAGATGTGTGTAGCTCGTTTCACGATTGGCTAAAATGGTTTTACAAGGAGAGGTGTGCAACAATAAACTTAATAAAAAATGACCAATACGAGATGTGCGGCCCGAGAGAACCAGACCAATCCCATGGAACAACAGAAGATTTGATTGATATTTGGTACAGAGTTTCTGGGACCGGACGCTAGTTTGACACTATTCTCAGACTGTTTTACTAAAATTCACCTGAAACGTCTGTACAAAGAACGCAGAGTTTGTTTAAAACTACACAACATTTAGTACAGATTAAAGTAAGGGTAAATAACATGTGACGAGAGATGTGCCCTACGTAAGCCCAAAGCAGTGCGACCCGTGAAGATCCAGTGAGAATAGGTCTTCAGCAGCACATGCTTGTCGTAAAAAGGCGACTATGCTTGTCGTAAGAGGCGACTAACGGTGATCGGGTGGTCAGGTTCGCTGACTTGGCTGATGCATGTCATCGTATCCCAATTGCGTGGATCGATGCTCATGATGTCAATCACTGGATTGTCTGGTCCAGACTCGGTTCTTTACAGACCGCCGTCATATAGCTGGAATATTGCTGAGTGCGGCGTTAAACAACAAACAAACAAACTATAGAAGAGCAATTGCGGTAATACTGAAGAGGTGTTACTGAAGCCGAATCAACCTACTTTCTTGACAGTCAGTTCCAAGCCATCCATCTTCACACACACCTCCATCGCAGGCACCAGTCACGTGATCACAGGAAGAAGATGGAGTCCGACAATGGCGGGAATTGCAGAACTTGCTACAGTTTGTCCCGTACGTACTGCCTGGACATGCTGGGAACGTCATACAAACATACTAGGGGTGCAAACTATTGTAGGAGAACACTTTTCAAATCATGGATAACTAATATTTGAAATGCCTCTCGATAACTGGTTGCATTCAATCAGTAACAGCTGAGTGAGGTGAAATGGGCGTTATTGCACTGATAGAGCGAGGTGCATACACGTATATTTGTTGGTGTGTCATTTTGTGTGTATTGTGTGTGCGCGTGTGTGTGTGACTGCTTGTACGTACTAGTCCGTTGTCATGCCGATCTTATAGTGTTAGCCCACAGAGATACCATGCCGCAGTTTGCCATAAATATCCCTCTCAGACACAGTAAAACAGTTTTGAGCCGACCAGTCCTTGTTTTATCCCCTTAATGCCGAGCGCCAGGCAGGGTAACAACAACTACATCCTTGCGCAATTGGGACGGTTCTGCAAATATATTATATTCGAAATATATAAGAGTGTTTGTTTAGTGTTCGTTACAAGAGCGCCTGATGTCATCGATCGAATTGGCATTGTCCACAGACTAGTATGTATTGTCTTAGACTCGTATGTATTGGCTTCTCATGCTGGGAGCGTCAAACAAACAAAAGTGTGAAACACTATGCTACCTATCGTAGGACAGCTATATTTAAATGGACAACGATTAAGGATATCCCGATGACAATTTGCAGTAAAAAAAAGTAACAACAAAATATGTGTGTTTCTGTTGCATTTATCAAAAACCTGTGACATTGATTCAACTCACGTTGTCGACAGTCCGTGTTCATCCAGCCGTCCCGGCACCCATCTGCACAAGCCCCATTGACGTCACAGGAGGATGACGTTGTAATGCAGTTGCGGGAGTTGCAGAACTGATCGCAGCGAATACCATACCGTCCTTTTTCACGACATTCTGAAGAATTTACTTAAATAATTGATACACGTTTGTATTTCCAAGACGAACATGCGATATTTCTTGATATTCGTTTTAAATCAATTAGAAACACATAATATATAATACCTGTCTACAGGTCCCCAGGGCACACACCACTGACAGAATGTCCTCACCTGTACACTGCTGTCCCTGTCTACACTACCCAGGACATACACCATTGACAAAATCTCCTCACCTGTACACTGCTGTCCCTGTCTACACTACCAGGCATACACCACTGACTGAATCTCCTCACCTGTACACTGCTGTCCCTGTCTACACTCCCCAGGACATACACCACTGACTGAATCTCCTCACCTGTACACTGCTGTCCCTGTCTACAGTACCCAGGACATACACCACTGACAGAATGTCCTCACCTGTATACTGCTGTCCCTGCCACCCTGTCTACAGTACCCAGGACACACACCACTGACTGAACCTCCTCACCTGTATACTGCTATCCCTGCCAGCCTGTCTACAGTACCCAGGACATACACTACTGACAGAATGTCCTCACCTGTACACTGCTGTCCCTGTCTACAGTACCCAGGACATACACCACTGACTGAATCTCCTCACCTGTATACTGCTGTCCCTGCCACCCTGTCTACAGTACCCAGGACATACATCACTGACAAAATCTCCTCACCTGTTCACTTCTGTTCCTGTCTACAGTCCGCAAGACACACAGCCCTGACAGAATGTCCTCACCTGTACACTGCTGTTCCTGTCTACAGTCCCTGGGACACACAGCCCTGACAGAATGTCCTCACCTGTACACTGCTGTCCCTGTCTACAGTCCCCAAGACACACAGCCCTGACAGAATATCCTCACCTGTACACTGCTGTTCCTGTCTACAGTCCCTGGGACACACAGCCCTGACAGAATGTCCTCACCTGTACACTGGTGTTCCTGTCTACAGTCCGCAAGACACACACCACTGACTGAATCTCCTCACCTGTATACTGCTGTCCCTGCCACCCTGTCTACAGTACCCAGGACACACACCACTGACTGAACCTCCTCACCTGTATACTGCTGTCCCTGCCACCCTGTCTACAGTACCCAGGACACACACCACTGACTGAATCTCCTCACCTGTACACTGCTGTCCCTGCCACCCTGTCTACAGTACCCAGGACACACACCACTGACTGAATCTCCTCACCTGTACACTGCTGTCCCTGTCTACAGTCCCCGGGATATACACCACTGACAGAATGTCCTCACCTGTACACTGCTGTCCCTGTCTACAGTACCCAGGACATACACCACTGACTGAATCTCCTCACCTGTACACTGCTGTCCCTGTCTCTGCTGTCCCTGCCACCCTGTCTACACTCCCCAGGACATACACCACTGACTGAATCTCCTCACCTGTACACTGCTGTTCCTGTCTACAGTCCCTGGGACACACAGCCCTGACAGAATGTCCTCACCTGTACACTGCTGTCCCTGTCTACAGTCCGCAAGACACACAGCCCTGACAGAATGTCCTCACCTGTACACTGCTGTTCCTGTCTACAGTCCCTGGGACACACAGCCCTGACAGAATGTCCTCACCTGTACACTGCTGTTCCTGTCTACAGTCCCCAAGACACACACCACTGACTGAATCTCCTCACCTGTACACTGCTGTCCCTGCCACCCTGTCTACAGTACCCAGGACATACATCACTGACAAAATCTCCTCACCTGTTCACTTCTGTTCCTGTCTACAGTCCGCAAGACACACAGCCCTGACAGAATGTCCTCACCTGTACACTGCTGTTCCTGTCTACAGTCCGCAAGACACACAGCCCTGACAGAATGTCCTCACCTGTACACTGCTGTTCCTGTCTACAGTCCCTGGGACACACAGCCCTGACAGAATGTCCTCACCTGTACACTGCTGTTCCTGTCTACAGTCCGCAAGACACACACCACTGACTGAATCTCCTCACCTGTACACTGCTGTCCCTGTCTACAGTACCCAGGACACACACCACTGACTGAATCTCCTCACCTGTACACTGCTGTCCCTGTCTCTGCTGTCCCTGCCACCCTGTCTACACTCCCAAGGACATACACCACTGACTGAATCTCCTCACCTGTACACTGCTGTACACTGCTGTCTCTGTCTACATTACCCAGGACATACATCACTGACAGAATGTCTTCACCTGTACACTGCTGTCCCTGTCTACAGTCCCTGGGACACACAGCCCTGACAGATTGTCCTCGCCTGTACACTGCTGTTCCTGTCTACAGTCCCCGGGACACACAGCCCAGACAAAAATCTCTTCACCTGTACACTGCTGTCCCTGTCTACAGTCCGCAAGACACACAGCCCTGACAGAATCTCCTAACCTGTACAGTTATCCCTGCCACCATGTCTACAGGTCCCCAGGACACACACCACTGACTGAATCTCCTCACCTGTACACTGCAGCCCTTGCCACTCTGGTCCACAGCCGCCAGGACACACGCCGGTGAGAGGGTCACACGTGTCATGTGAACACCCACCACACAAATGGTTACAGTTTGTTCCATATGTGCCATGGCTACACACTGAAATGGAAACACATTTTCCAAATAATTCTGTGTCTTTAGTAGTACATATCATTTTCAACAGTCTTCTTCGCATTATGAAAATGCGATAGATACCGAAAGCAAAAGTTCTGCATAGTCAAGTCAATTGGTGTCAATTGACTTTTCATGTTTCTGTTGTGAATATTGTCAAACTTTAATACGTATTACCTATTCCCGGCTTCTTAACTGGCTTAATTTCACAATTTTACAAACAACCAAATTGAAAATCAAACGTGATACAATACGTATAGGCAGACATAGACACAGTGAGTGAGTGAGTTAGGTTTAACGCCGCTTTTAACAGTATTCCAGTTATATCGCGACGTGTCAGCTTAATGTGGGAGGAAAGCCTGAAGTGATGCAGGTCTAAGACGTTTACCACTTCGGTGAAACCCACGAGCACGGGTATGGTGCTGACAAACCTAGAAACATAATTTGGGCGAACCGGGATTCGAACCCACAATCATAGGTTTCTGGCGTGGCCAAGGGACGCAACTCTGCACAGCGAATCGCGGCGCCTTAGACGACTGGGCCACCCGTGCCCCCCTACATAGACACAGACATAGCTCTAGATCTATACTTAACACCGTTGTCTCGAACTTTGATGTGCCGAAGTTACGGTTGTCTGGAAGTATTAAAAGTCTTAGTCCCTGCGTTATTCCTTTTTTATTCATCATTTTTTAACCTCGAATGTGTCGAAGTTACGGTTGTCTCGAAGTCATATTACAGTCCTGAACATTTAAGTTACTAGGATAAGCCAACATTTCATTATTCATTTTCTCGTTTTTTGTTGTCACATATTTTCTTCATGCCAATCGGAAAATATATGCTGAGTTTATTCTTCGTTTGTGTCAAACCTCGTATTATTCATGTATTAAAATGAAAACATTAATGAATTCTTGTAATTTTTATTAACCAAAAAGAAATGTATGACCTTTCACTGGGGAACTCAGCTAGGTCAAGGTCATCTAACCAAGAAAGGATCTCTGTTTCTGGCACGTGTGGCAAACTGATGTTTTATCTCGTAAATTGTTTCCTCATAAGGGAGGGGTGGTTGTAATATCTAAGAAATGGCGATCAGATATTGTATTATATTTACGTTATATTTACCGTACACCTCCACTTCACACAGATTGAGTGTCTGGTTATCGTGACTGATTGTCAGGTACCTCCCGTGACCGTCACACGTGACGTTATAGACACCGTCAGCCTCTTGGGTGTCGGAGGGGAAGGTGTAGCAGGTGACGCCGGTAGCTGAGCTAGTGTTGTGCAGGTTGATGATGGCACCGCGAATCCTCCTTACGACTAACATATGACAAGAATTGATACAAATAATACACCTCATCACAACTTATGCAAGCGCCGACTCCATAACCTTCTCAAAAATGCACACTCTGAACGCATGCAGAAATTGTTTATCCATAACCCATGATATCGTCTACATAACAACGTCAACATACACTTTGTAATCAAGAGATTTTTAACTTCAACAATAGTATTTCTAGGGGACATGCTGAATGTTCTTACATGCCTTCCTGTTATAGATCCTGACATCGTATAGTCTGTACACCCGACCCAGGTCCACTGTCCACTGACTGGGTGGACTGGGTGGAATGGCCGGGTGGAAGCATGAGTTGGTAGCCACATTCTGCCTTCGGTCACCATCCACAGCTTTGTCGGGAGTCCATCCAGGATCAAAAGGAGCAATTGGGGATGAGGCTGGTCGCTGGTAGGCAACATTTTCTTCAAAATAAGTAAATAAAGAAAATATGCCACAGCTTCTGAAATGGTGTATCAAATATATCAAATGACTAAGATATTAACAGTACATGAGTATGAACAGAGACACAGATCCCCCGTTCCTCTCATCTACGCTACACATTGTATCGTTACTCTTCCTTTTGTGGTTATGAAGGGTGACAGATGCTGCCAAACATGCCATTATATCTACTGTTTGTTTGTTGTTTAACGCTGCACTCAGCAATATTCCAGCTATATGACGGCGGTCTGCAAGTAATCGAGTCTGGACCAGACAAACCAGTGATTGATAACATGAGCATCGATCCACGCAAATGGGAACCCGCTAGTCGCCTCTTACGACAAGCATAGTCACCTTTTACGGCAGGCACAGTCGTCTTTTACGGCAAGCATGGGTTGCTGAAGACTTATTCTACCCCGGATCCTCACGGGCCTTATATCTACTGTGTGTGGTATAATTGTACAAAGCAAATAACGTGCAAGTGTATAAATAGTCCAACATACGTTTTTGACAGTTGCTTCCCCGTCCTCCAGACCAGCCAATGTCACAGTCTGCTCCACAAACGCCCGTTGTGACATCACAGGATGTTCCACAGTGACATGAGAACCTGCAAGAATCTCCGAACCGTCCCGGGAGACAGGAACCTGGGAACAGACAACAGGGATAGACGAACAGTCAACTAGTTGTGTACCTATATCGGTTCGATCACTGTCAACACAGTTGTCATAAAACTATTGGAAATATCAAGATTTGTATCCGATTTTTCATTTTGAGCAGAACAAAAGTTAAGCGATATCCAGATCACCTGGTGAAATACTGATTTTATTTCTTCTGATATCTGCGAATTTCATTTTCATAGAATTATGCATATTTTTTTTAATTTTCTGAAATGTTGCAACTGTACTATTGGTCAGAAATAGTCCCATTCAACATTTAGTATCTCATGTCAAAACCGTAAAATATATGACCTGTCCTTGAGTCAACAGGCGATTCTGTCGAATTAGGAGATAAACCTACTGTGTTTTGAAATTTGATATAGTCCCACTGTAGAGTAGATACCTCTTATTTCAATTTGGAACCGAGCGCCTTAGCGAGTAATAGAGGAAATATTGATATGCCTTAGAGTTCCGGAAATCTTTGCATTATATAATAAATCAGTTAATAGATTATAATATATCATAAGTATATTGTGCTCCAGAACGACAGGAATTGCGCAATAGGAGATTATCATGCGTCAATATCAGATTTTAGCATCTCTTTCAATACAACTTATTTATTCCTCATCATGCAGACACACACCTCTTTCATACCTACAAACATCGCCATACTCACCGCATATCAGTTGCATCAGGCAAAATGACGCGACAATCCTCACGCCCGCCATGTTTATCAACCAGGAAGTCAACTGCTCACACGTATCAAATTTCGTACTCACATACCTTTGAATCAGCCGACCGCGTATTTATGCACCCCAACCCACAACCCATCTACAAACAATAACTAAAACGAGGAAAGTCTTTAAAGGGCACTGATCTCTGGGACCGGGACTGGTTATTGCCTTTGTTATTGTTTTTATCCGTGGATACCCGGATGATATCAATGAAATCTCAACTACATGTAGTTCGCGACCTGTGCTGCGCCAAACGTAAGCGCATTTGCCACTTTTATTGATATAAATTATTGATATAACTATAGTTTTGTCTTGGAATTGATAAAGAAATGTAGGTATACTTGGGGGTCGCAACAGTAATGCTCACCTGAGCATTGCTTACTTGATAGTTTGTATATGTTAAAGTGCATGTGTAAATGTTTTACTTTGGCAGTTTATTAAACGCCTAAATATTCAGTTATTTTACAAATGGACTGAAACATATGTCCATATGTATTAAAATGATAACGATTCCAAGCATTTCGGAGTTTAATTTCATCAACTAGTGACCGAAAATGATTGCCTTAAAGGAAAACGAAAGACAAAGTACATTTCTAAATATGTGCCTTCCAATCCCAGCACCCACCCACCAACACACCCACCACCAACAACACTTTGTGCTCCAAGCCATGGTCCATGTGAGAGTGTTTTCACACAAACCTACCGAAAACGTACTATGCCTACACTTGTTATATTTCTATCAGTTACAAAAGATGTTTCTCCACTTCTACCTAAACCTTACAAGATATAAAAAAAATAAAGTCGGTTAATAATGTAGCAGTAGTTCATGTCAATAATCAATTTATGAGTAAACAACCAAAAGGTGAAATATCCATGTGTTCATGAGCCTCATACAATCCCGTCATAGCCTCTTGGTATCTCGATTTCATGGGTCCTCTGGGTCCTCTGGTGAGGACAGTCGGTTTCGAGTTCCTACCACCATTCAACATTCATGCCCAGCGCCCTCGAATCCGGCCTGCATATGCCTTTGAAACGGACGTGGAGATGTCAAGGTGCCCTTTCGGCGGAGGCGAGCTCACGGTACAAGAGGTCCATCTGGACCTCCCGTCCTCCATCGACGAAGGTGGCCGAACCAGTGAGGTTTGTGGTGTTGGAACAAGATGAATAGACTCAGGATCGTGGTCCAGGTGAGAAATTCAGTGTTTTGGTGTTGAGTTTCTTTTCTTTTCTGGAGGAGAGACTCGCTGTCCTACGGCAGTAGGCTGACGATGCAGCCTTTGTAGACAGCACCCTTGATGAGAGTTGTCAGGTGGTGGGTCTCTCACACTCTCTGGGGAGGGTGGTGGGCGCTGTATCGGACCAGGCGAGCCAGGTCGAACAACTTATCTTCTGAGCTTGTGTCGAGTAGAATCCGTCAAAGGTCTTGCATGTATCCTTTCATTTATCATCTTGGCTGAAGAAGATTCCAAACAAGATGGGGGCAAGTAAGCAGCCCTAATATAAGCCACTGCGTATGCCGAAAGCCTAAGAGGACACGCCGTCAAACTGCACAGCGCCTCTATGTCAGTATGGAATACTGGATCATGTTAAGGAGTTTGGTGGGCAGCCAATACCGGCAATATCTGCCCATAAGGTAGAAGGCTTCTGTGAGGTCCATGAATGCCATAAAGAGTGGCTGCTTCTGCTCTCTGCACTTTTTCTGCAGCTGTAAGAGCGAGCACTTCATGTTGGTCATGGATCGTTATGCCCTGAAGCCACACTGCGATTTGTGGTCTTTTTAGGGGATGATGCTCCTTCCTTAGCCAGAGGAATGCAAGAGAGGAAGAGTGAGCCTCTAAGATAACCCAATACCAGGTCAAGCTGGGGACCTACGAGGGGTGGTTGAAATGTATAACCGTTGGTATATCCCTATGAATATCTATCCATATTGCATGGCTTACTGTGTATAAATATCCGCATTGCAGGGACCACTATGTATAACAATCCGTATTGCAGGGACAACCATGTATAACTATCAATATTGTAGGGACCACTGTGTATAACTTGCATATTGCAGGGACCACTACTTTTAAAACTACCCATATTGCAGGGACCACTATGTATAACTATCCATATTGCAGGGACCACGATGCATAACTATCAATATTGCAGGGACACCTGTGTGTACCCATCAGTATTGCAGGAATCATTATGTATAACTATCCGTATTGCAGGGACCAATATTTAAAACTATCCATATTGCAGGGACCACTATGTATAACTATCCGCATTGCAGGGACCACTGTGTATAACCATCAGTATTGCAGGGACCACTATGTTTAAATGTCCGTATTGCAGGGACCACTCTTTATAACTGTCCGTATTGCAGAGACCACTATTTATAACTATCCGTATTGCAGGGACCACTATTTATAACTATCCGCATTGCAGGGACCACTGTGTATATCTGTCCATTTATGCAGGGACCACTGTGTTCAACAATCAGCATTGCAAAGACAACTATGTATAACTATCCGTATTGCAGAGACCACTTTTTATAACTATCCGCATTGCAGGGACCACTGTGTATATCTGTCCATTTATGCAGGGACCACTGTGTATAACTATCCGTATTGTAGAGACAACTATGTTTAACCATGGGTATTGCAGAGAGCACTGTGTATAACTATCCGTATTGCAGGGACCATTGTGTATAACTCGCCGCATTTGCAGGGACCACCCTGTATAACAATCAGCATTGCAGGGACCACTGTGTATAGATATCCGCATTGCAGGGACCACTATGTATAACTATCCGTATTGCAGGGACCACTATGTATAACTATCCGTACTGCAGGGACGACTATGTATAACTATCCATATTGCAGAGACCTCTGTGTATAACTGCCCGTATTGCAGAGACCACTATGTATACCTATCCGTACTGCAGGGACCACTGTGTAAAACTGCCCGTATTGCAGAGACCACTATGTATACCTATCCATATTGCAGAGACCTCTGTGTATAACTGCCCGTTTTTGTGCTGTTATCAACGCAAGGGCGAGAGGGGAGATGACAGGTTCTGCAACGGCTAAACGAAGCCGTCGCCTTCCCACCACGCAGGAAATCGGTTTTGAGGAATGTTACAACAGCGACTTGTAAGCAGTTCGAGACGATCTAATGTGAAAGATATAACGGATTCACCACTCAAAATGGGAAACCGGGTCACATGGGCACCACTTGGTTTGGACTTTGATCCCACAAAAGTGGTATCTAATCCAAGATCAACGCCTATCAGCTTAGCTCTACATCTCATCAACTAAGTTATACATTATCAATGTGTGCCTTTCGGATTTGTATGCTGTGCAGGTGGTCTAGTGGACTTAGTCTCTGCGATTCGCTGTGCAGAGTCGCGTCCATTTGCCGTCGGTAATCCAAGAGTCGCCCTGATAACAACCCTTTTTTGTACAGTACCATAACCTTGCTTGTGGTGACGGTCAAAGAACTGGGTAACTTCGGAATTTGATATAAGACGGTCACATCGACTGGCAAGGGGTGACTTGACGCGACGTTTTACGAGTTTAGTAAAGAAAGATAATGTCTTTGCTCAAGATAAGAGTCCTCTCGGGGGGCCTGCTACACACGTGGACTACCTATACTCCTACCATGTACTCTTATGTTGTTGAGCTACTATGATTTACTGACTTTGACGATATCTCTAACACCAAAACTTGCATTCGTTAACGCCAGTTCAAGGTATACTGTCTCTTAGGGTTATCGGAGATCACTAATGGTGCACTATTGCCAAAGGGAGAATCATGGGTAGTCTAGTGTGTTGCATAATTATGATAACGCACTATGGCTCGGTTGCATGGACAGGAAGGCATGTGGTTGTCAACACATGTAAAAACATACATATACAGTAAGACATGTTCATATTCTATCATACATTCTACCATGACATTGATGAATGCTTGATTCTGATTGGCTAAAAAGAGGTTTCCTTTTTGCTACGGAAACCCCTTTCAAATATATAAAGCCTTTTCACAAAAAAACGTGCGTATGAATGCATAGATAGCCAACAATCTAAATCACTCACTCTTATTAGAAATATACACCAATTAATAAAGCGTCGAAACCATTTCCATAATCGGAAAGACACGTGGAAAAATTTGAATAGTTTCCCATTCTGTAAAACACATTTAGCTTTTAACTCAGTGAAATACTTACATACTTGCACATCCAGTACTGTTATGTCTCATTTACAACACATTGGAATTTCCCCACATACAGTTAGTAATGGTATACGTCCACTCATTTTGTGGAATATTTGTACATGCAGGAGTGAACGTGCAGATAACGTCTTGGTTATACCAAGCACTTTACTGCGTTTTACAATCACGTGAGTAATTATAAAAACAATTTGAAAGTTTTATGCAATAAATGTGTTCACAAGTCATCTTTAAGTACACAAGTTTCAGTTGTATGCCACCAAACTACGATCTGCTTTGTTGGTGTGATGTGGCCCTGTAAAAAGATTTTCTGTTTCAGAGATAAGATGTGAGGATGACGGCGAGACGCAGTGCCACCTGGTGGTTTCTGCCAAACTCTGTTCTCACAAGTACTATAGAAAAGCTTGCTGCGAAACATGCTCCATGCACCCTTAGTCAGGCACTGATGGAGGACTCGTTTCAGACACCGGACAAAATCATGAAAGACACCGTGCTCCTGTTGGGCACTTTATCTATAAGAGACATTTTTTAAGCTGTTGTATCAATGGACACAAAGATGACGTATGGATTTTAACGTCTTTCGTTTTTCAATGCGATTGAGTGTGCCGGGCAGATCATTAATATTTTGTGTCTGAAGAACCTGTTCCAAAGCCTGCCAACAGACTGAGACACATTGATCGTAATGGCTGCCTCTCGCAGATAGAAGCATGCCAATAACCCTTAGGCATTAATCACGTTGTATACGACGAATTCCCAATCTGATCACAAATACTGCATTAAATGAAAGCGACATTACCCT